ATAAACCATTACTCATGTTTATGCTTCCTATAAGCTGGAGAAAGCACTCCTCAGCATCACGTGTCCAAGGGCATCTTTAATTTCCAGTCATCTCCATTTATGACCCTTGTTCTGATTTGTAGCAGACTGTAATTCAGACTTGCATTATTTATACCCTTTAATATCCCTAGGTCACATTGGTCTTATTTGGTTTTCCAATATCAGAAGAACTGTTGCACTTATAATTAGGGTAGTCTCTCGGGGTGGTTAGAATTAGCCTAATTCTATGCCCCTTTGCCCAGCTGATCAAAGAAGCAGATAGGAACATTAGTATGCTAATTATTACCTCCATAGTCATGTTAAAACAAAGTTTTGTTGGAGTGTTTATAGAGTGCCTATCTTTGCCCAACCAAATGCTGGACTGTAGTTGTGGAACAGAGAGAAGCCCTCTCTGCATTCAGCATTCAGGCCATGATAGGCATGGATCAGTAACTTCATTGATCCAATGCAAGGAACCAGCTTAGATTTGGCTTACAATTAGATGGAGGGAAGCATTCCCCATCTCTTTTTATTCTGCTAGACTGCCTGCACTTGGCATTATTCTTTTGGGTGCTCATTGCTTGCTGCTAAAGCCTTTATTTCAATAACGTGATCCTTGTTTCATTTGTGACTCATGTCTTCCTTCCAAGAGAAGAAGGGCGAAGAGGCTTTCAGGTTCCCTAATATCTTTGCTGGTTATATGACCCCAGCCAATCAGGGATTCCATAGGCAGCATGTCACAATGCCACATAGCTATAGATTTTTATTTTATTTTTTACAAATAAATATGTCACAAAGGCAAAGAGTGAAGGCTGTGAGCAATCACTGTGACACCTTGAGGCCAATCAGATGTGGGTTCATGAAGATACTGCAGTACCAGTTAAGAGGGAAGGCAATGTTTTCTGTCCTTATTATGACTGAACTAATATTTTCACCACACTTTGCAGACTACCAGCTCCACAAACACTTGTCAGTTCATTAAGACTACTAATACTATTGACTGCAAAAGGGATGGTTCACATACCTTTTATTTTGTTTGTTTGTTTGTTTGTTTCCTTCTTTTTCCTTTTCATTATGTGTGCATGTGTATTTCCTGCATGTTATGACTCTCAGGAAAACAATAGCCTTTTGATTTGTTTTGCATTCACTACAAAAATTGGCATCCATTTTTAAGCTTTCCGTCAGTTCAGTTCTCACTGCTGAACTATACCGAATAAATGCAGTGCATGAGACAATGGGGTGTAGAATATACAGTTAAATGCACCTAACAGGTTGTTAGTGACTGACTGACTGATTCTATTTTTAGCATGCTCATCCTCCAAGGAGCTCAGGGTAGATCTCTTATCCTCACTGCAACCCTGTGAGGTAGGTCAGGCTGAGATGTGGCAAGGTCAGCAAATGAACTCAGTGACCAAATAAGTTTGAATTAAGGTCTCAAGTCAAAGTTTAAAAAATATTCACTACACCAGTTGTCACCAATGTGGAACCTAAAGGCAGCAGTTCACTCAACAGTACTTCCTCTATTACATCTAGGAAGAGTTTCAGGAAATATCCCCTCAAAAATCCATAATACTTGAAAGAGCATGTTTGATCTTCCTGCTCAAGCTCCCCTGCATTGAAGACATTATACTATGCCCATGGCAGCCATTTCGTGTTAGGCCACACCCAGAGCAACCTTTTTACGTTATGCTATGTACCCACTGGCCCCAAAAGACTGGTGACCCCTGAATACACTGTACTCCCCCAGCATTTGGGCACCCCCATATGCAAGCCAATCATATGCAGACCCAGCACCAGTGGCTGATCATCTTGAACATTGGCTAAGGGTCTCTAACTAGCACAGCATTCCACTAGGCCACCTGTTTCAGTAGCTGGAAGGTGACAGTTTTTTTTTTTTTTTAAAGCAATTTATTGGGTTTTACAATAAAGATAAACATAATAAACAATGTAACATTTGTCATATCATAGTTTCACATTTTCTTTGGACTTCCTCACATCCCCCGCTCCCACTTTCATCGTTATAACATTTTGTCAGCAATTTATCATCTTATTTAAATTCTTATATCTCTTCAATGTTTCATAATCTTATAGTTCTCATAAAGAGTTAAACTTTCACAATCTTACTTGTTTTCTTAAAAACTTCTAAGTTAAGTGGTGCTCAGTTATTTAGTCTAGCATCTTATTTAGCATTCACTCAAATCACAATATTTTTGTAGATAGTTCTTAAATTTCTTCCAATCCTCCTCGATTCTCTCTTCTCCCAGGTCCACGGATTCTGCCGGTCATTTCAGCCAGTTCCATGTAGTCTATCAGTTGCATCTGCCATTCTTCCAGTGTGGGTAAATCTTGAGTTTTCCAATGTTTTGCAAGAAGTATCCTTGCTGCTGTTGTTGCATACATAAAAATGTCTGGTCCTTCTTTGCCACCCCTTGGCTGACAATGCCCAGAAGGAAAGCCTCTGGTTTCTTGGTAAAGGTATATTTAAATACCTTTTTCAATTCATTATAAATCATTTCCCAGAACGCCTTCACTTTAGGGCAGGTCCACCAGAGGTGGAAGAACGTTCCCTCGCACTCTTTACATTTCCAACACTTATTATCAGACAGGTGGTAAATTTTTGCAAGTTTAACTGGGGTCATATACCATCTATAAATCATTTTCATTACATTTTCTTTCAGAGCGTTACATGCAGTAAATTTCAATCCATTACTCCACAACTTTTCCCAGTCCTCAAACATAATATTATACCCAATGTCCTGTGCCCACCTTATCATAGCCGATTTAACCATTTCATCTTGTGTATTCCATTCCAACAGCAAGTTATACATCCTTGAAAGTACCTTAGTCTTTGGTTCTAACAATTCTGTTTCTAGTTTCGATTTCTCCACCTGGAACCCTAGTTTCTTATCATTTTTAAAAACTTCTTTAATCTGAGCGTAATGTAACCAATCTCGCACTTTGTCTTTCATTTTCTCCAAACTCTGCAATTTCCAATTGTCTCCATCTTTTTCTAGTATTTCCCAATATTTTGGCCATTTAGCCTCCATATTGGGTCTTTTTCGGGCCTTAGCTTCCAAAGGTGAAAGCCACCTTGGTGTTTTATTTTCCAACAAGTCTTTATATTTTGTCCAGACATTATACAGTGATTTTCTGACAATATGGTTCTTAAAGGCCTTATTTGCTTTAACTTTGTCATACCATAGATATGCATGCCATCCAAAAACATTATTAAACCCTTCCAAGTCCAACACATCAGTGTCTTCAAGAAGTAGCCAGTCTTTTAGCCAGCAGAACGCTGCGGCTTCATAATACAACTTTAAGTCCGGCAGGGCAAAGCCCCCCTCTTTGTTTTACATCAGTTAATATCTTGAACTTGATTCTGGGCTTTTTGCCCTGCCAGACAAACTTCGAAATATCTCTCTGCCACTTCTGAAAGCACTCCGTTTTGTCCAAAACTTGAAGTGTTTGAAATAAAAACAACATCCTTGGCAATACATTCATCTTAATAGCAGCAATTCGGCCTAACAAAGAAAGTTTCAATTTTGACCAACTGTCTAAGTCTCTCTTAATTTCTGCCCAACATTTTTCATAGTTATCCTTAAATAGACTTAGATTTTTTGCTGTTATGTTTACCCCTAGGTATTTTACTTTTTTAACCACATTGAGTTCCGTCTCATTCTGAAACCGTTCTGACTCTGTATCAGTTAAATTTTTCCCCAAAACCTTAGTTTTCTGTTTATTTAATTTAAATCCAGCCACCCGACCAAAATCATTAATCAATTGTAATACTCTTTTCGTACTGGGCTCTGGCTTCTGCAAGGTCAAAACCAGGTCATCTGCAAAAGCTTTTAGTTTATATTGTTTCTGACCAACCTGAATTCCTTCCACCAACCGATCCCCTCTAATCATGTTCAATAGCACTTCCAGAACCGAAATAAATAACAAAGGGGAGATAGGGCAACCTTGTCGTGTCCCTTTTTCAATTTTGAACTCTTCTGTGACCACATTATTAACTATCAATTTAGCTTTCTGTTCTGAGTATATCGCCTCAATCCCATTCTCAAAACCCCGTCCCACTCCCATCTCTTTTAAATTTCCCATCATAAATTTCCAAGAGATATTGTCAAAGGCCTTCTCCGCATCTATGAAGATTAAAACTGCTTTTGTATTTATATCTGTTTGCAGAAGTTCCAAAATGTCAATAATGTTCCTTGTATTAGCAAACAGATGTCTACCTGGGAGAAAGCCGGCCTGGTCCTTATGAATTACTTCATTTAAGACTTTTTTAAATCTACTTGCCAAAATATCTGCAAATATTTTGTAATCCACATTTAAAAGGGAGATGGGGCGGTAGTTCTTAAGTTGTGTCTTTTCAGCTTCCGACTTTGGTATTAATGTGATAAACGCTTCCTTCCACGAATCCGGTGCCCTCTTCCCCTCCATAATTTCATTGCTGACCTCCATCAAAGGTTGTATCAGATAGTCTTTTAATATCTTATAATACTTGGAGGTCAGCCCATCTGGCCCTGGAGATTTGCCAAGTTGCATGTTCTGAATGGCTTGTTCAATCTCCTGTCGTGTTATTTTAGAATTCAGGATTGTCCTATTTTCTTGTGACAATTTAGATAGTCCATTTTTTGCCAAAAATTGTTTAATCTCAACTTCGTCTTGCGGCCCTTGGGTGTATAATTTTTTGAAATATCTCTGGAAACACTTTCTAATATCCACTGGATTCTGAATGTTTTTCCATCAACCTCTAAGTTTGTAACCGTGTTTAATCTTTGTCTTCTCTTCAACTGCCAAGCTAGCAGTTTTCCACATTTATTCGCCGACTCAAACGTTTTTGTTTCATTAATTTAACCTTCCATTCAATTTCCTGATTTATCAATTTAGAATATTGTGTTTGATGAAGTTTAATTTCTCTCAGAGTTGGCTGTGACTTTGGATTCACTCTTAATTTCTTCTCTAGTTCTTTTATTTTATCCAAGATCTTATCTTTTTTCTCATTTTGTGTTCTTTTCTTTACTACATTCTGTTGTATCAAGAATCCCCTCATTACAGCTTTGCTTGCGTCCCAGACGATTCTTTTTTCCACCGAATTGTTCATGTTTATCTCAAAATAGTCCTTCAAAACTTTTGGGCCTTCTTGGTAATTTCCTGATCTCTAAATAAATTGTCATTCATCTTCCATCTAAAGGATCCAGTTGGTAGTAGTGTCATATCCATCTTTACTGCATTATGATCAGAGCAGGTCTTTGGGCAGATTTCCACTTTTCTGACCTTAGGTGCCAGGCCTCTAGAAATCCATATTTGGTCGATTCTTGTCCAGGTCAGTTGGGCTTCAGAAAAGAATGTTCCTTCTCTACCTAGTGGGTTCTTTGTCCTCCAAATATCAATCAAATCCATATTGTCAGTCATTTCAAAAAAGGTTTTAGGTAGTCTGCCGTCTTTTGTAACATTTTGACTTTGTGACTTGTCCATATTAGTTGACACGACCCCGTTCATATCTCCCATCATTATGATGTTGTTGTAATCCAGATAGTCCAGCATTGTCCCCTGCAGCTTCTTGTAAAATTCCGATTTCCCTTCATTAGGTGCATAGATTCCTAATATCAACAGTTTCTCTCCTTGATGTTGTATCTCAATGGCCAAAATTCTTCCATATTCATCTTTAAATAAGAATTTAGGTGACAGGCTCTCTTTTGCATATATCACCACGCCTCTCTTCTTAACTTTGTCCGACGAAACAAATTCCTGGCCCAATCTTTTATTTATTAACACTTTTCTGTGGAGCCTCGTCACATGTGTTTCTTGTAAACAGATGATGTCCAATTGTTCTTTTTTTAATATATGAAATATTTTCTTCCTTTTTTCCGGAATGTTACAACCATTAATGTTCCAACTCAGCAATTGCAGAGACATCCTGGATCTATCTGGTTATTTCTCCAGGGGTGGTGTCTTCTCTAGATCTTCAGGTTCCCCAGGTGCTGGTGTTGATACTGGCTTTGCCCCAGGCCCAGAAGGTAATTCAGTTCCTTTTTTGAAGGTCCTCTCCGTATGTAGCCAAAAATTTGTCTCTCTCTTCCAATGTTCTAACTTTGACCTTTCTCCCTTTAAAGGTAAAAGATATTCCTTGTGGAAATTCCCACCTAAATGGAATTGCGTTGCTCCTTAGTAGTTTAGCAAGTTCAGAATAGGCGGCTCTAAGATCCAGCAGTTGTCTTGGAATATCTTTATAAATTTCAATTCTTCTGTCCAAAACCTCCAGTGACTTTCCGTAATGTAGGCCCAAAATCTTATCCCTTTCCTCCTTTGATCTCAATGTAATCAAACAGTCTCTGGGCCTCTCCTTCTTTGTGAATCTTCCAAGTCTGAAAGCCGACACAATTTTAAAATCCTTTTCTTCCAAATTCCAGAACTTGGAAAATTCTTTGGTCAAAAACTCAGTTAAATTTCCTTCTTCTGCCTCTTGTAATGATCTAATCCTCAAATTATTCTCACGATTTCGCAGTTCTATCATGGAAAGATAAGTCTGATGTTCCCCAACTTGTTTGGTGAGTGGCCTTACCTCTTGCTCTAAATTTTCCAATTTTTGTCTAGTATCCTCAGCCAGTTTCCGATTTTCTGCTGAGGCCTCCGTTAACTGTCCAATTGCTTGTGTATTCTGTACAACTTGTATGGTTAATTTATTTAGACATTCTGTATTTTTGTCAATCTTTGCTGATTGCGCATCTACTTTCTTGTCCAAAGCTTCCAATTTTTCAAAGATTTTGTCTAGAACAGAAACAGATACTCCTGAGGCCATATCTTCCAATTGTAACTGCTCTGCTTCACCCTCTCCCTCTTTTGCCTGTGGCAAGGCAACTTCTTCAAGTTCTACTTCTGAGGGCAAAGTAGGTACAGATGATCTACGTGTCTGCGAGGCTGAGGTTAGAGTTGTTAAAGTTGTTTGTCTAACTCTCCCTCTTTTCCTTGTGCCACTCATTCCAACGTTGTCTATCAGTCAAGGTCACACTGAGTTTTTCCCATGGGAATAGAAAGGCCCAGAGCAAGCAAACAACAAGGGAATCGAAAGTAAATGTAAATGTAAAGTCACTGTTTTCATCCAGTCCTCTAGAGGGAGCTTAAAATGTCTTTCAGAGTCTAATTTAATGTCCAAGAACCTTCAAATATAAATATTTAGCAGAGTTTATAAGTAGTCACTTTGTTACAGACAGTGCTTATTTGTCTCCAAAAAGAATGTTTCAAATTTAAAAAGTCTCAATACCCTCAGATTGTTGCAAGTTCCAATATACAGTATCCAAATCTGCAATACTGACAGCTCAATTTCTCAATGCTCAGGCAGCTCCTGACTCTGGGTTTCACCTTCTAATTTGTAATCCAATAAAAGGGGAAAGTCAAGTGCAAGTTAAAATTCCAAGTCTTTAGCTTAAAGTCTTTACTTTAAATTGCAGGTTCAGTAGATGCTTAGATCTGTAAAGTTTAAAATCTCTTCCTTTCAGCCTCCACTCCTCCAACTTAGTTGCTTTTTCAAGTTCAATGGCTGCGGAAGACGGACTTCCTGTTTCCACGTCTCTCCGCTTTCAGCCAAGTTCAAGCCAATTTAAGATTTTTTATATAAAGTCTCTGATTTCAAGTGATTCAGTCTTTACTCACGAGTAAGTTGCTTTTCGTCCGAATCCGTCTTTAGCAGGAAAAAGGATCAGCGCTCACCGGCAGCAGCAGCGCGGCTTCACTCCGCAGACTGTGAAGCAGCTCTCAGCGCCGCAACCCCCCTCCACGCTCCGGAGCCCCTTACGAGGTTCCTTCTGCGTTTGGAGGGTCACTTAAGGCGCCCACCGAGCCTCAGGACCCCAAGCTCTTGCTGCCTGGGGTTTTCCAGAGTGGGTCTCCGCTTCGCCGTAGCGGACGACCCGTTTTCTGCGGAGCCTCCTCTCCCTTTCAGAAGAGGACCGCCATTGCCGTTCGCGCCGCCCCTCGGAAGTCGAATCTGGAAGGTGACAGTACTGCTTTTTAATGCAGGCCCCACTTGGCTCTCTCATCTGCGGGGGACACCCGCCATCTTAATTTACCCAAAATGCAAAGCCTCAGCCTAGATACAGATTGCATCGATCTATGCCCAGGGCACTGCATTTTGAGTTGATTAAAAGGGCAGGCAGATGGGAGCTGAAACTGGCTCCTGTTTGAAAGTGGAGCCACCACCTGCCCACCACTAAAACATTGCTCCAGGGCCTGGCAGGAAGGGCAGTGAATAGGGTTTCTAGGTTAGGAGCATCTCAGACCCTGAGATTTCAGAGACCAAGCCTGAGGCCTAGGGGTGGCCCCTGGTGATGTCACAGGAGACAGGGCACTTGACCCCTGATGATTCTTACTCTGCACTCCTTCCCACTACTAAGCCCTAGAGACAGATTATTATTATTATTATTATTATTATTATTATTATTATTATCATGTGCCATCCATCTGGCTGGGTTTCCCTTCCGCTATGGGCAGCTCACAGCATATATCAAAACATAATAAAACATCAAGCATTAAAAACTTCCCGATATATGGCTGCTTTCAGATGTCTTCTAAAAGCCAGATAGTTGTTTTTTGTTTTAATTTTCTTGACACCTGAAGGGAGGGTGTTCCACAGGGAGGGCATTACTATCAAGGAGGCCCTCTGCCTGGTTCCCTGTAACTTTGCTACTCACTGTGAGGGAACCAGCAGAAGACCCCCAGGAGAGGACCTTGGTGTCTGGGCTGAACGATGGGGGTGGTAGATGGGAGGAAGAGAGGTGGGCAGTGAAGAGAGTAGAAACCCAGAGAATCTATGCTAGAATTTGCAGCTGGCTCCTGCTAGACTGAAGCTTGAAAGCTCCACACAAAGCCACAACAAACAACAACATTTTTAAAAAGGCATTCTTGCCCACCTGGAGATTCGAGATCCCCCACCAAGACCTAAAGAGGGCCAGGGAATCCTAGATACTTCAGCTCAGCTCTGGGAATCTGGCAACCCTATCAGAGAGTGATGTTGCAGCTGCCGCTGTGGTCATGACAGCAAAATACTTTTTATTTTTTTTAAGTGCAATTGAATTGAGAGCATGCAGTATTTCCTAGGAGGTGGGGGCCCATGCCAAGGCCCTCTGAAGTCTGGCACCAGCTCTTGTTATATTAAATTTATTACAGTCAGTATTATAGACAAAGGGTAAGAGCAAGAAGCTGGGGAGGGAGGCACAGAAATTAATATGCCCTTAAACAATTGTGTTACTGTGATTAGATCTAAAGAATGCCAAAAGCAGCAATATCTCAGGAAGACTCACTGACTAGGCAGCAGATAGCACTGTCTCACTCTGACATCCCTGCAACTGCTAATACTGCTATCTTCATTTGCAGTAATCATCAAAAGGAAGGTTAACTTTTCTAATCCTTTGTGTGAGTCTAATCAGTGACTATATCATCAGAGCCAGCTATCTTTATCTCGTATTCCCAGTACAACAATGCTATCTTTGTCTTGAGTGGATTTCTCAAGCAATTTAATACAGTAGGCCACCCTCATCCTAATCCAATGTGTATAGGGCAGCAGGCTACTTTCCAAGCTGAATGTCCTAGCCAGTGAAATAGAGTCAAGGGGAAGAACCCTTGCAAAAGGCAGAGACTGGCTCAAACCAGATACCCTTCCACTAGCAGCAGGGAGTTCAATATGCAGGACCTTTCCTTATGCTCAAATGGACCATGACAGAACTCCAGTGCATGGGAAGAGTGTTCTTCCCAAAGGCATCTGATTGGCCACTGTGAGAAAAAGATGGACTATTTGGACTGATCTCTCAGGCTCTTCTTGCATTATTATGTATTTGGAGGAAAAGGCCACCAGCAGCAATACCCTCCAACATTCCTCAGATAAAAATAAGGACATTCTGTTCCACATCAGTATCACTGCTTGAGCATTTCCTCCTGGTCAAGTGCAAAAGTTATTAAAGGAAACACACAAAATTGCAGTATATTAAGCACAGAAATCTCTGAATTTATGTATTGCATTTAGGGAAGCTGAGGGAAAAAGAAAACCCCAAATCAATAAATACAGCTAACTATATGTGTGTGTGGACGACTTTGCAATGTCATCATGCATTTATGAGCATTTTGGAAGCATGATAACTTTGAACAACCATAATGTTTGTGATTGTGCAGGTGTATGATATGTTTATTTTGGAGTCCAGGGACATATAAACCTTTGAGTTTGGAGATACATAAGCTTCACTTTGTTTTAGTGTTTCAAACTTCTGAGCAAATTGGGAATGTGTAAGCAACTGCTGCATCCTGATGGTGTGGTGGATCCTGACTGAATCAGCTACACACCCACACAGAGGGAATTCCCTACCCCAGCTCCCCTTGGACTCACCCAAATGCACAAAATGGGGAGACATCAGATTTCAGAAGGCACCGCCAATTCAGCTCATGGGAGACTTCAATGTCTTTTCTCCATCCACATGAGAAGCCAAACAGGAAGGGGTTTTGGAAGGAGGACCCCTCCCCATCTCCCCAAATCCCCTTCCTCTCTAGAAATCTAGTCCAGTTCATCTTAAGCCACACAGAGAGTGAAGCTACAGAATCAGATCTCCCTCAAAGCAGGAGCAGGAGCTGAAGAGGAAACACCTGTTATGTGTGTTTAGCAGCTCAGTGGCACTTCAGGTTTCCAGACAAATATAAAGAAACTGAGTCTTTCTCATTTCAGCCTCCCATCTAATCTACCATCTCCTAATTTCAGATGGGATGGTTCCTATGAGGGAACACAATTCTTTACTCATATTCACCTATCCTGCAACTGAGGCAGAAGTCTTAAGAGTTTGCTTTTTGATGCCCATGTAAGCTCCTGGACAGTATAGAATACCTGGAAAGAGCAGAGGGCCTTTGAAAAGCTGTGTGCATTTCTCACCCATCACTAGGTGGAATAATGTGCTAAAGCAGCCTCAGTCAAGGTCTAATCCACAAACCAGTTAGTTCAGAGTCTAGTTGTCACATTTATTTTACTTTAGAGCAAGTTTGGAGAGCCTTAAGTGAGACATTTTCGACAATTTCAAAGAAATTTTAATTTTGTTAATTAAAAGATTAGTGAAATTTCTCAGGGCGGCAGTGGTATCTGCCCTGACCCTCACGTGCAATTAGACGTGAATTTTCAGAAACTGCTGCTCACCCAACTTGCCACAACCTTAGGCCCCTGTAAAGAACCCTTTTGTGGCTTCTCTCAATGGGAGGAATGTGGGTAGACATGTGGGTACTCTAGTCCATAAGGAAGAGGTGAATATCATTTAAGGTGGCTCCACCCCATACTCTTCCTTCTTCTTTCAAAACCATCCCTCCTCCCTTTATAGTGTGGGCATAGCTAGTTGCCCTATTTATGGGGCTGAGAAGAAATTACCGTATTTCTTGCTCCATAAGATGCACTTTTTTCCTCCTAAAAAGTAAGGGGAAATGTCTGTGCATCTTATGGAGCGAATGTATGGTCCCTGGCAGCGGCGGAGCTGAGGACTTTGGTTCCCGGAGCGGTGGGGGCATGGCACACCACCCATGGTGGTGTGGCACATCACCCATGTGAGCATCCTAATGGCGGCGCATGTGTGAGCATCTCCCACCCACGTTGGGGGGTGGGGAGAGGCGAGGCGGGGGAAGAGGGCTTTAGAACACTATTTAGAGTTCCCTCCGTTGGAGGGGCTCTGTGACTTGCATGAAAGCAGCCAGGAGCCAGCGCGGAGGGGGATTTATCCCTCTGTCAAATTGGGACAGGGAGCTTTTTTCTTGCTTTCCTCCTCTAAAAGCTAGGTGCGTCTTATGGTCAGGTATGGAGTGAAAAATGCGTATTTAAGGGAGCCCCTAGTTGACCTTGGGACTCTCCTTTTTTGCCTGCTTCACACAGTGTGAGTTTTGCATGGGCAGAGGCTTTTATTCCTTTAGCTCACTGATGTGAGCACTCTCAAGTTCAATTTCCTTTGGCTTCAGGGTACTCAGTACCTTGGGGTTGGTCATGCACAAGGGGGCGAATGCTGGGTCAGCAGGGCTATGCTGTGCGTGACAGGTTCCAGTACCCAACACGCACGCATTAAGGAGGGAGAATTTCCTTTCAATTTTTTGCTACATGGCCAAAGAATGAGACTGTAAATCTGCCCATTATTTTCTGGATAACTCTCCTGCCTGGCCTACTTTCATTTGGCTAATCAGTTTAATTGGTTTGTTGCAGATGCTCTAAGTTGTTTTGCTATATTTTATTAAATATGACCTGCTTCACCATATTTACGCTTCTCGAATCTTCTTTCTGGGTATAATAGCAAATTTAAAGAAAATTTGTACTAATGACATTTCCTGTGGGAATGTCTATCCCTATTCCAAAGTGGCTTTTCAGTTGCTCATTATACACATCAAGTACCATAAAAACATAAGAATAGTACTGCTGGTTCAAGCCAAAAGCCCATCTGGAGTAGATGTTTTGTAAACTGCACCCCTTAAGGTGGCACGTCAGTGAAGCCTCAGTTTCCTGGACCCAGAGGTATTCCACAAAATATCTTTGCTCTGTCAGAAACCCTCCCTCCACTGCCTTATCAACATTTGCTAACTATTAAAAAAAATACACCTTCTTAGCCAACTCCCATGTTGTTAACAACCATTTGATCAGCAGAGGAAGTTTTCCATGATGTAGAAAAGAACATAATCAGTTGATACTGTCTGTAGACCAAACCACAATTATAAGGAAGAGCAGCAGCAGCAGCATAAAAGTTGGTAACCCACATCTGATCCTTCTCCATATCAAATGCTGCCTTTCCCTTTCACCCCTTCCCAGAAGTGTGGGAAGTTACCCCTTATCAGAAGTTCTCCACCCATGACATGAAATAACATTATAGTTGCTTCTCTTAGACTATTATATCTGCAAAAGGTAGCTGTGTATGATAGTGATGTAAGCAATATTTCTGGCTTTTTGTTAGTTTGATCCCTCTCCTTCCCCCACCCCCAACCCACCA